GCCGAGTCCTCTTTCTCCTACAATCAAACTTATCAAACTTATAGATAAGCAAACGTTCAAACCACTTCCATGACTTATTTCCCTTTTTAAAATAGTCAAATAGTGATTAATAGTGATGCTCATAAGCCTCTTTTTAATAGATTTGTATTAAACAAATTAAAAAGCAATTACTTCTCTTTATTATTATTTGTTTATAAATTACTATCTAAAGAATGACACTGTATAAAAAGAAAATGTATTTCAAATTTATAAAATAAATACAAAAAAACATATAAATAAACACGACACGAGACACCATTATTTACAGAAAGCTTTCATGTTTTATATTCTTTTGACCTATATGATGTTAGAGATCTTGCGGAAGACATAATATAAAATTAATTTTCACAAAACAGACTGATTCACTTATGCACATGATGTTGTAATTTGTTTTAATTAAAAAAAAACAAATACGTATTTCTCAAAACACGAACAGGTCAGCAACAAGTATCCTATGTTCGTATTTTGTGTTTGAGTATATATATATATATATATATATATATATATATATATATATATATATATATATATATATATATATATATATATATATATATACATACACATATATAGGCCTATATATTTATATGGGGGGGGCCTAAAAAATTTTTTTGCGGGGTGGCCCCTTTTTTCTAGTTCCGCCACTGATCTGAAGTCTAATTTGACTTAACATTAGATATTCTTGCATTGTCTTCTGAGACGAACGTGTATAAAAAAAAAATAGCTGCATTAGAAGGGGCTCTAATTTGATTTATTTATTAATTTTGATTTGTTACGAACCTGCATTAATGACAATGTAAAAATCTCATTTTTAATCTAGTTAGATATACAATTAGTCATCAAAATTTGATTTTAAAATATTTAAATTTAGTCACAAAAGGACAATAACAACATGCGTCATCTCTAGCGATGACTCGATTATCCTGTTTCCAACGGTCAAATGTTTGTCACGGACGGTTGATTTCCATGGGCGTCAAGAAGGGGCGCTAATATCGATTTAATTCAGAATAAACTACGAAAAAAGGAAATCATTTTTAAAAATATAAAAAATAATCTAAGGTAACATTAAGGGCATTAGTATCAGGTAGCGATACCGACACTAGTGGACGACAACGATACCAGCATTAGTTATCGGTAACGGTACCGATCCAAGTGAACGGCAATGATACCAGCATTGGTTAACAGTAATGATAGTGATACTATCATTACTTTGAATGTAACGATGCCAGCACATAACAGTATCAATGCCGTCCATATAAAACAACACCCGCACCTAGCAGCTCCAGTGTTGGGTGTTTGAAGTAAAACGTTAGGATGAGATACAATTGTTTTTATTGTGTGAAACGACCCCCCCTTCCCCCCCCCCCCCCCACCCCGCCGGTCCCGTCCCACAAAACCACCCCACTGGTCAATGTCATAACGAAACAACAACATGTTTGTCTGACCACCAACAAAGAGGTTTTACCACACTAGGACAGACTTTATCAACCTTAGGGGAGGGGGGGGGGAGATGGCCAGACTCTATCAACCTTAGGGTAGGGGAGATTACGGCTGGTAGAAAACGACCGGATATTAACGTCCTAAAACTGGGTCATTGCCGGTTGGTCAGATGTGAAAACAAATTTATCGCTTGATTTTGTTTTTGTTATGTCTAAACAAATTTATCGCTTGATTTTGTTTTTGTTATGTCTAAACAAATTTATCGCTTGATTTTGTTTTGTCTAAACAAATTTATCGCTTGATTTTGTTTTTGTTATGTCTAAACAAATTTATCGCTTGATTTTGTTATGTCTAAACAAATTTATCGCTTATTTTTGTTATGTCTAAACAAATTTATCGCTTGATTTTGTTTTTGTTATGTCTAAACAAATTTATCGCTTAATTTTGTTTTTGTTATGTCTAAACAAATTTATCGCTTGATTTTGTTTTTGTTATGTCTAAACAAATTTATCGCTTGATTTTGTTTTTGTTATGTCTAAACAAATTTATCGCTTGATTTTGTTATGTCTAAACAAATTTATCGCTTGATTTTGTTTTTGTTATGTCTAAACAAATTTATCGCTTGATTTTGTTTTTGTTATGTCTAAACAAATTTATCGCTTGATTTTGTTTTTGTTATGTCTTAACAAATTTATCGCTTGATTTTGTTTTTGTTATGTCTAAACAAATTTATCGCTTGATTTTGTTTTTGTTATGTCTAAACAAATTTATCGCTTGATTTTGTTATGTCTAAACAAATTTATCGCTTGATTTTGTTCTTGTTATGTCTAAACAAATTTATCGCTTGATTTTGTTTTTGTTATGTCTAAACAAATTTATCGCTTGATTTTGTTCTTGTTATGTCTAAACAAATTTATCGCTTGATTTTGTTTTTGTTATGTCTAAACAAATTTATCGCTTGATTTTGTTTTGTCTAAACAAATTTATCGCTTGTTTTTGTTATGTATAAACACATTTTTCGCTTGATTTTGTTTTGTGTAAACAAATGTATCGCTTGATTTTGTTTTTGGTATGTCTAAACAAATTTATCGATTGATTTTGTTTTTGTTATGTCTAAACAAATTTATCGCTTGATTTTGCTATGTCTAAACAAATTTATCGCTTGATTTTGTTTTTATTATGTCTAAACAAATTTATCGCTTGATTTTGTTTTTGTTAAGTATAAGCAAATTTATCGCTTGATTTTGTTTTTGTTATGTCTAAACAAATTTATCGCTTGATTTTGTTTTTGTTAAGTATAAGCAAATTTATCGCTTAATTTTGTTTTTGTTATGTCTAAACAAATTTATCGCTTGATTTTGTTTTTGTTATGTCTAAACAAATTTATCGCTTGATTTTGTTTTTGTTATGTCTAAACAAATTTATCGCTTGATTTTGTTTTTGTTATGTCTAAACAAATTTATCGCTTGATTTTGTTTTTGTTATGTCTAAACAAATTTATCGCTTGATTTTGCTATGTCTAAACAAATTTATCGCTTGATTTTGTTCTTGTTATGTCTAAACAAATTTATCGCTTGATTTTGTTTTTGTTATGTCTAAACAAATTTATCGCTTGATTTTGTTCTTGTTATGTCTAAACAAATTTATCGCTTGATTTTGTTTTTGTTATGTCTAAACAAATTTATCGCTTGATTTTGTTTTGTCTAAACAAATTTATCGCTTGTTTTTGTTATGTATAAACACATTTTTCGCTTGATTTTGTTTTGTGTAAACAAATGTATCGCTTGATTTTGTTTTTGGTATGTCTAAACAAATTTATCGATTGATTTTGTTTTTGTTATGTCTAAACAAATTTATCGCTTGATTTTGCTATGTCTAAACAAATTTATCGCTTGATTTTGTTTTTATTATGTCTAAACAAATTTATCGCTTGATTTTGTTTTTGTTAAGTATAAGCAAATTTATCGCTTGATTTTGTTTTTGTTATGTCTAAACAAATTTATCGCTTGATTTTGTTTTTGTTAAGTATAAGCAAATTTATCGCTTGATTTTGTTTTTGTTATGTCTAAACAAATTTATCGCTTGATTTTGTTTTTGTTATGTCTAAACAAATTTATCGCTTTATTTTGTTGTTGTTATGTCTAAACAAATTTATCGCTTGATTTTGCTATGTCTAAACAAATTTATCGCTTGATTTTGTTTTTATTATGTCTAAACAAATTTATCGCTTGATTTTGTTTTTGTTATTTCTAAACAAATTTATCGCTTGATTTTGTTATGTCTAAACAAATTTATCCCTTGATTTTGTTTTTGTTATGTCTAAACAAATTTATCCCTTGATTTTGTTTTTCTGTTTTTGATTTTTCTCTCTCACCTGTTTTATGTCTTCAATAAGTGGCGGCCGCTTCTCATTGTTTTACTTTCTGCCAGTCAATTCATCTGGTGGTGGTGATGATGGTACAAGTCTGATTTTGATGGTACAAGTCTGATTTTGATGGTACAAGTCTGATTTTGATGGTACAAGTCTGATTGTGATGGTACAAGTCTGATGGTGATGGTACAAGTCTGATGGTGATGGTACAAGTCTGATGGCTTGTGGTGATGGTACAAGTCTGGTGGCTGGTGGTGATTGTACAAGTCTGATGGCTGATGGTACAAGTCTGATGGCTGATGGTACAAGTCTGATGGCTGATGGTACAAGTCTGATTGTGATGGTACAAGTCTGGTGGCTGGTGGTGATTGTACAAGTCTGATGGCTTGTGGTGATGGTACAAGTCTGATGGTGATGGTGATGGTACAAGTCTGATGGCTGATGGTGATGGTACAAGTCTGATGGCTTGTGGTGATGGTACAAGTCTGATTGTGATGGTACAAGTCTGATGGTGATGGTACAAGTCTGATTGTGATGGTACAAGTCTGATGGTGATGGTACAAGTCTGATGGCTTGTGGTGATGGTACAAGTCTGATGGCTTGTGGTGATGGTACAAGTCTGATGGTGATGGTACAAGTCTGATGGTGATGGTACAAGTCTGATGGTGATGGTACAAGTCTGATTGTGATGGTACAAGTCTGATTGTGATGGTACAAGTCTGATGGTGATGGTACAAGTCTGATTTTGATGGTACAAGTCTGATTGTGATGGTACAAGTCTGATGGTGATGGTGATGGTACAAGTCTGATGGCTTGTGGTGATGGTACAAGTCTGATGGTGATGGTGATGGTACAAGTCTGATGGTGATGGTGATGGTACAAGTCTGATGGCTTGTGGTGATGGTACAAGTCTGATGGTGATGGTGATGGTACAAGTCTGATGGTGATGGTGATGGTACAAGTCTGATGGTGATGGTGATGGTACAAGTCTGATGGCTTGTGGTGATGGTACAAGTCTGATGGTGATGGTGATGGTACAAGTCTGATGGTGATGGTGATGGTACAAGTCTGATGGCTTGTGGTGATGGTACAAGTCTGATGGTGATGGTGATGGTACAAGTCTGATGGTGATGGTGATGGTACAAGTCTGATGGCTGATGGTGATGGTACAAGTCTGATGGCTGATGGTGATGGTACAAGTCTGATGGCTGGTGGTGATGGTACAAGTCTGATGGCTGGTGGTGATGGTACAAGTCTGATGGCTGGTGGTGATGGTACAAGTCTGATGGCTGATGGTGATGGTACAAGTCTGTTGCCTGGTGGTGATGGTACAAGTCTGATGGCTGATGGTGATGGTACAAGTCTGATGGCTGATGGTGATGGTACAAGTCTGGTGGCTAGTTGTGATGGTACAAGTCTGATTGTGATGGTACAAGTCTGATGGCTGATGGGGATGGTACAAGTCTGATGTCCCTCCCCACTACACCAGTCAACATAACAATTTTCTTCTTGTACTCTACGTGCTGACTTCTACAGGGCGTGGCCTGCCAGCGATTACTTCCCTCTAATGGTGGGGGGGGGGGGGGGGGTGGCAGAGAGTACAGATCAAAGGAGCAAATCTAGAGAGGCAGAGAGGCAGAGAGTACAAATCTAAAGGAGCAAATCTAGAGAGGCAGAGAGTACAGATCTAAAGGAGCACATCCAGAGAGAGAGCCAGAGAGTACAGATCTAAAGGAGCACATCTAGAGAGGCAGAGAGTACAGATCTAAAGGAGCACATCTAGAGAGCCAGAGAGTACAGATCTAAAGGAGCACATCTAGAGAGGCAGAGAGTACAGATCTAAAGGAGCACATCCAGAGAGAGAGCCAGAGAGTACAGATCTAAAGGAGCAGAGTGGGAGAGAGAGGTTGATAATTAGTATCCACGATGAAATTAATGTTTTACGCTAAATAGTCACCAATATCGCCGCCATTGATACTAAAAATAGCAAATTTTTGCAGCATCTGTTTACAATACAAGAGTTAAAACACGCAGCACCCGTTAACTGACAATCCAATATTCCCAAGGCTGTCAAACTCCGCCATATTGGCAGCTACTGTCCTTGTCAATCTCGTGTCACACTTCAGCCTCGTCTGTCAGTCTGTCAATGACAGCTGCTGCATGCAACATAAACACAAACATAGTTGCGCTGTAGTTCTGTAACACATTACAGATGAGCGCCGCTTTATGTTGAGGATATTATTGTTACACACAGCAGGACCATACACAAACATACACACACAATACACACACATACAGTAAACACAGGTGGTGGGACTGGTGTCTAAATATTTGACACATGGTGACTTTCACAAACTCCCACATACTCCCACTGACTCCCACACTCCCACAGACTCCCACTGACTCCCACTGACTTACACTGACTCCCACTGACTCACACAGACTCCCACAATCTCCCACACTCCCACAGACTCCCACTGACTCCTAAAAACTTACTGACTCTGATCTAGCAGAGTGTCAACACACCGTGCAACACACCATTTAGCTGACTCTTCCTGAAAGCCAGTAGCTCCCCCCCCCCCGCCCCCAGAGAGCAAGTTGCTATAAAACCGGCGCCTTCTACAGTGAAAGGTATAGGCCCTACCTTGGTGCTAGAACCATCTTAACTCCAGTCCCTGGCAACAGGTCCAGTAGAGATAGGTCATTTGATGCTGCTCTAGGGCAGTCAACTGAGATGTAACACAGGTCCAGTAGAAATAGGTCATTTGATGCTGCTCTAGGGCAGTCAACTGAGATGTAACACAGGTGCAGTAGAGATAGGTCATTTGATGCTGCTCTAGGGCGGTCAACTGGGATATTACACATTGGCACGGAATGTGTCATTTATGTTAGCTAAAAATGGCGTTAGGGCGCCTATAGTCCTTACTGTAAGGTTGGGGCGCCTCTAGTCCTTACTGTAAGGTTAGGGCGCCTCTAGTACTGTAAGGTTGGGGCGTCTCTAGTCCTTACTGTAAGGTTGGGGCGGCTCTAGTCCTTACTGTAAGGTTAGGGCGCCTCTAGTACTTACTGTAAGGTTAGGGCGCCTTTAGTCCTTACTGTAAGGTTAGGGCGCCTCTAGTCCTTACTGTAAGGTTAGGGCGCCTCTAGTACTTACTGTAAGGTTAGGGCGCCTCTAGTCCTTACTGTAAGGTTAGGGCGCCTCTAGTCCTTACTGTAAGGTTAGGGCGCCTCTAGTCCTTACTGTAAGGTTGGGGCGCCTCTAGTACTGTAAGGTTGGGGCGCCTCTAGTCCTTATTGTAAGGTTAGGGCGCCTCTAGTCCTTATTGTAAGGTTAGGGCACCTCTAGTCCTTACTGTAAGGTTAGGGCGCCTCTAGTCCTTACTGTAAGGTTAGGGCGCCTCTAGTACTGTAAGGTTGGGGCGCCTCTAGTCCTTACTGTAAGGTTGGGGCGCCTCTAGTACTGTAAGGTTGGGGCGCCTCTAGTCCTTATTGTAAGGTTAGGGCGCCTCTAGTCCTTATTGTAAGGTTGGGGCGCCTCTAGTCCTTATTGTAAGGTTGGGGCGCCTCTAGTCCTTAATGTAAGGTTAGGGCGCCTCTAGTCCTTACTGTAAGGTTAGGGCGCCTCTAGTACTGTAAGGTTGGGGCGCCTCTAGTCCTTACTGTAAGGTTGGGGCGCCTCTATTTCTGTAAGGTTGGGGCGCCTCTAGTCCTTATTGTAAGGTTAGGGCGCCTCTAGTCCTTATTGTAAGGTTGGGGCGCCTCTAGTCCTTATTGTAAGGTTAGGGCACCTCTAGTCCTTACTGTAAGGTTGGGGCGCCTCTAGTCCTTACTGTAAGGTTAGGGCGCCTCTAGTACTGTAAGGTTGGGGCGCCTCTAGTCCTTACTGTAAGGTTGGGGCGCCTCTAGTACTGTAAGGTTGGGGCGCCTCTAGTCCTTATTGTAAGGTTAAGGCGCCTCTAGTCCTTATTGTAAGGTTAAGGCGCCTCTAGTCCTTACTGTAAGGTTAGGGCGCCTCTAGTCATTACTGTAAGGTTGGGGCGCCTCTAGTACTGTAAGGTTAGGGCGCCTCTAGTCCTACTGTAAGGTTGGGGCGCCTCTAGTACTGTAAGGTTGGGGCGCCTCTAGTCCTACTGTAAGGTTGGGGCGCCTCTAGTACTGTAAGGTTGGGGCGCCTCTAGTACTGTAAGGTTAGGGCGCCTCTAGTCCTACTGTAAGGTTGGGGCGCCTCTAGTACTGTAAGGTTGGGGCGCCTCTAGTCCTACTGTAAGGTTGGGGCGCCTCTAGTACTGTAAGGTTGGGGCGCCTGTAGTCCTTACTGTAAGGTTGGGGCGCCTGTAGTCCTTACTGTAAGGTTGGGGCGCCTCTAGTCTTTACTGTAAGGTTGGGGCGCCTGTAGTCCTTACTGTAAGGTTGGGGCGCCTCTAGTCTTTACTGTAAGGTTGGGGCGCCTCTAGTCCTTACTGTAAGGTTGGGGCGCCTCTAGTCTTTACTGTAAGGTTGGGGCGCCTCTAGTCCTTACTGTAAGGTTGGGGCGCCTCTAGTCTTTACTGTAAGGTTGGGGCGCCTAACTTAACATTCAATGTACCCCAGTAGACAATGGGATCTGGGCCTGTCCAACTTAACATTCACAGAATTATTTTTGTTCGTGACGTGACTGTCACTAGTCAGTACATGGAAGGAAGTCATCTCTCACTGTGACTGACTCCTCGCTAGGTGGGGATTGGACTTCTATTGATCTACCAGAGAACTGGACGCTACCTTTTTCTGTGCAGTGGTCGCACATAGGCACTGTAACTGTCCAGTTAGGTGCTGTATTGTCCATTAATGGCACTGTCCAGTTAGGCAGTGTACAGTTACACTTTGTCCAGTTAGACTTTGTCCAGTTAGACACTGTCCAGATAGACACTGTCCAGATAGACACTGTCCAGTTAGACACTGTCCAGTTAGACACTGTCCAGATAGACACTGTCCAGATAGACACTGTCCAGTTAGACACTGTCCAGTTAGACACTGTCCAGTTAGACACTGTCCAGTTACACACTGTCCAGATAGACACTGTCCGGATAGACACTGTCCAGTTAGACACTGTCCAGTTAGACACTGTCCAGTTAGACACTGTCCAGATAGACACTGTCCAGATAGACACTGTCCAGTTAGACACTGTCCAGTTAGACACTGTCCAGTTAGACACTGTCCAGTTACACACTGTCCAGATAGACACTGTCCGGATAGACACTGTCCAGTTAGACACTGTCCAGTTAGACACTGTCCAGTTAGACACTGTCCAGTTAGACACCATCCAGTTATACACTGTCCAGTTAGACACTGTCCAGTTAGACACTGTCCAGTTAGACACTATCCAGTTAGACACTATCAATTTAGACACTGTCCAGATAGACACTGTCCAGTTAGGAACTGTCCAGTTAGACACTGTCCAGTTAGACACTGTCCAGCTAAGTACTGTCCAGTTAGGAACTGTCCAATTAGGCACTGCCCAGTTAGACACTGTCCAGTTAGACATTGTCCATTAAGGCACTATCCACTTAAACCTAGACACGTTCTGGGCAGTTCGGACCTTTTACTTCTTTTTCCATGACGTCACCCACCGTCCACTGGTCAGCTGTATATCAGACCTTTGACCTTAAAAATCTGGTTACTGTAAGTTAAATGTTGAGTACATTGCCCGGTTGGCCAGTCCGTCAGCGGCTGGACCCGGCCAATCGATCTCTAATTGGCCACGTGATCGGCGGGAAGGATCTAATTGGCCGGAGGAACTCCGTGGACACTCCGCCTGACATTTGCTTGGAACTGCAATCAACGCTGCCGGTCAAGCGGAACAACTCGTGTCGTGCTTGTTGACGAGTTAAGTTTCCCTCAACCTAGGCTTCACCCATTCAAGTCAATCTCTTATCTAAATAATCTTCATTTCAATGGAGGAATGATTTTAACTATTTAAACGGTAATTTTAATTATACTTAGGTATGTGTGACCAGTGTTTCTTCCAGAGTTCCAACATTTTTAGGAGGGGGTGAGGCGGACACTGGCAAAAGAATATGTTTTCTATATAGATTTCATTTCGTTCGGGGGGGGGGGGGGGGGGGGGGGAAATAGATGCCTGGAAGAAACTGTGTGTGAGACGAAGACGACAATTAGATGAATTTTCGTGTCGAGATTTGTATGCAGTATATTTAAATATGTTGCAAAATGTATGTGTTATTTCTTTATTTTTGTGGAATTTCGTGTTTTAAAAGTACTTGTATATATATACAAGTTGGTTGGTACATTTAAAAAAGATTTACCGTGGCGGAGCACGGGATGCAGCTAGTATATATATATATATATATATATATATATATATATATATATATATATATATATATATATATATATATATATATATATGTCAGTACAAGTTTTATTGGGTTCAAGTTCCACCTTTACTGCACTAGTAAAAATCAAACAACAGGCTTGTGTACTCTACCAGAAGACATCCCATTATTTTAATTCCTGTGACCTGTAGCGGGCTGCTGCTTTTAAACTGTCCACAAATCCCGCAGTTTGTTATTAAAATGTGTAATGGAAATGTTGATTTCCCGGCAAGAAAAGTACATTGGAGTCCCACAGGCTAATGACATTTGATTGGTCTCTCCTGCTAGATGCAGGGATACGGGCTGCTTTGATTGGCTTGCTATATTTAGAAACATAAACACATGGTTACACGTGAGATGTCTGGTAAATAATAAATAACACTAAGCATTGTATTTGCTTGAATAAAACTCGAATTGTGCGGATGTCCTTGTGTGCGGGGGAGACGGTGGGGAGGGGGTATGGAGACAGAGGTTGCTGATGTAAATAACTAAATTTAAATGTCTTTTGTTAATTATTGTTTATTGTGTTATTAAAAAGTGAAAAGGACATTTTAAGAAAAACATGACAATGGCGGTACACAGTGTGTTGTGGGAGGCTGACAATGACGGTACACAGTGTGTTGTGGGAGGCTGACAATGACGGTACACAGTGTGTTGTGGGAGGCTGACAATGATGGTACACAGTGTGTTGTGGGAGGCTGACAATGATGGTACACAGTGTGTTGTGGGAGACTGACAATGACGGTACACAGTGTGTTGTGGGAGGCTGACAATGGCGGTACACAGTTGTGGGAGGCTGACAATGGTGGTACACAGTGTGTTGTGGGAGGCTGACAATGGTGGTACACAGTGTGTTGTGGGAGGCTGACAATGATGGTACACAGTGTGTTGTGGGAGGCTGACAATGATGGTACACAGTGTGTTGTGGGAGACTGACAATGACGGTACACAGTGTGTTGTGGGAGGCTGACAATGGCGGTACACAGTGTGTTGTGGGAGGCTGACAATGACGGTACACAGTGTGTTGTGGGAGGCTGACAATGGTGGTACACAGTGTGTTGTGGGAGGCTGACAATGATGTTACACAGTGTGTTGTGGGAGGCTGACAATGGTGGTACACAGTGTGTTGTGGGAGGCTGACAATGACGGTACACAGTGTGTTGTGGGAGGCTGACAATGACGGTACACAGTTGTGGGAGGCTGACAATGACGGTACACAGTGTGTTGTGGGAGGCTGACAATGATGGTACACAGTGTCTTGTGGGAGGCTGACAATGACGGTACACAGTGTGTTGTGGGAGGCTGACAATGATGGTACACAGTGTGTTGTGGGAGGCTGACAATGATGGTACACAGTGTGTTGTGGGAGGCTGACAATGGCGGTACACAGTTGTGGGAGGCTGACAATGGTGGTACACAGTGTGTTGTGGGAGGCTGACAATGGTGGTACACAGTGTGTTGTGGGAGGCTGACAATGATGGTACACAGTGTGTTGTGGGAGGCTGACAATGATGGTACACAGTGTGTTGTGGGAGGCTGACAATGGCGGTACACAGTTGTGGGAGGCTGACAATGGTGGTACACAGTGTGTTGTGGGAGGCTGACAATGGTGGTACACAGTGTGTTGTGGGAGGCTGACAATGGTGGTACACAGTGTGTTGTGGGAGGCTGACAATGGTGGTACACAGTGTGTTGTGGGAGGCTGACAATGGTGGTACACAGTGTGTTGTGGGAGGCTGACAATGGTGGTACACAGTGTGTTGTGGGAGGCTGACAATGGTGGTACACAGTGTGTTGTGGGAGGCTGACAATGGTGGTACACAGTATGTTGTGGGAGGCTGACAATGATGGTACACAGTGTGTTGTGGGAGGCTGACAATGGCGGTACACAGTTGTGGGAGGCTGACAATGGTGGTACACAGTGTGTTGTGGGAGGCTGACAATGATGGTACACAGTGTGTTGTGGGAGGCTGACAATGGTGGTACACAGTGTGTTGTGGGAGGCTGACAATGGTGGTACACAGTGTGTTGTGGGAGGCTGACAATGGTGGTACACAGTGTGTTGTGGGAGGCTGACAATGGCGGTACACAGTTGTGGGAGGCTGACAATGGTGGTACACAGTGTGTTGTGGGAGGCTGACAATGATGGTACACAGTGTGTTGTGGGAGGCTGACAATGACGGTACACAGTGTGTTGTGGGAGGCTGACAATGACGGTACACAGTGTGTTGTGGGAGGCTGACAATGACGGTACACAGTGTGTTGTGGGAGGCTGACAATGACGGTACACAGTTGTGGGAGGCTGACAATGACGGTACACAGTGTGTTGTGGGAGGCTGACAATGACGGTACACAGTGTGTTGTGGGAGGCTGACAATGACGGTACACAGTGTGTTGTGGGAGGCTGACAATGATGGTACACAGTGTGTTGTGGGAGGCTGACAATGATGGTACACAGTTGGGGTAGGCTGACAATGGCGGTACACAGTGTGTTGTGGGAGGCTGACAATGATGGTACACAGTGTGTTGTGGGAGGCTGACAATGATGGTACACAGTGTGTTATGGGAGGCTGACAATGGCGGTACACAGTGTGTTGTGGGAGGCTGACAATGATGGTACACAGTGTGCTGTGGGAGGCTGACAATGATGGTACACAGTGTGTTGTGGGAGGCTGACAATGGCGGTACACAGTGTGTTGTGGGAGGCTGACAATGGCGGTACACAGTTGTGGGAGGCTGACAATGATGGTACACAGTGTGTTGTGGGAGGCTGACAATGGCGGTACACAGTTGTGGGAGGCTGACAATGATGGTACACAGTGTGTTGTGGGAGGCTGACAATGGCGGTACACAGTTGTGGGAGGCTGACAATGGCGGTACACAGTGTGTTGTGGGAGGCTGACAATGGCGGTACACAGTGTGTTGTGGGAGGCTGACAATGATGGTACACAGTGTGTTGTGGGAGGCTGACAATGATGGTACACAGTGTGTTGTGGGAGGCTGACAATGATGGTACACAGTTGTGGGAGGCTGACAATGATGGTACACAGTTGTGGGAGGCTGACAATGATGGTACACAGTGTGCTGTGGGAGGCTGACAATGATGGTACACAGTGTGTTGTGGGAGGCTGACAATGGCGGTACACAGTGTGTTGTGGGAGGCTGACAATGGCGGTACACAGTTGTGGGAGGCTGACAATGGCGGTACACAGTTGTGGGAGGCTGACAATGATGGTACACAGTGTGTTGTGGGAGGCTGACAATGGCGGTACACAGTTGTGGGAGGCTGACAATGGTGGTACACAGTGTGTTGTGGGAGGCTGACAATGATGGTACACAGTTGTGGGAGGCTGACAATGGCGGTACACAGTGTGTTGTGGGAGGCTGACAATGATGGTACACAGTGTGTTGTGGGAGGCTGACAATGATGGTACACAGTGTGTTATGGGAGGCTGACAATGATGGTACACAGTGTGTTGTGGGAGGCTGACAATGGCGGTACACAGTTGTGGGAGGCTGACAATGGCGGTACACAGTTGTGGGAGGCTGACAATGATGGTACACAGTGTGTTGTGGGAGGCTGACAATGGCGGTACACAGTTGTGGGAGGCTGACAATGATGGTACACAGTGTGTTGTGGGAGGCTGACAATGGCGGTACACAGTTGTGGGAGGCTGACAATGATGGTACACAGTTGTGGGAGGCTGACAATGGCGGTACACAGTGTGTTGTGGGAGGCTGACAATGGCGGTACACAGTGTGGGAGGCTGACAATGGCGGTACACAGTTGTGGGAGGCTGACAATGGCGGTACACAGTGTGTTGTGGGAGGCTGACAATGGCGGTACACAGTGTGTTGTGGGAGGCTGACAATGATGGTACACAGAGTGCTGTGGGAGGCTGACAATGATGGTACACAGTGTGTTGTGGGAGGCTGACAATGGCGGTACACAGTGTGTTGTGGGAGACTGACATTGACAGTACACAGTGTGTTGTGGGAGGCTGACAATGATGGTACACAGTTGTGGGAGGCTGACAATGGTGGTACACAGTGTGTTGTGGGAGACTGACAATGATGGTACACAGTAGTTGGAGGCTGACAATGATGGTACACAATGTGTTGTGGGAGGCTGACAATGATGGTACACAGTTGTGGGAGGCTGA